ATTGGGGGAAGTTCTGGTTTTATTCTGTTCAAGTGAAAGTTGAACTGTATATGTTCTGTCGTAAGCGGAAGATCGTGGTCTATTTCTTTCTCTGTCTTCAGTCTTCAGAGTATCCTTCACACCCTGGATCCAGATCTTCTTTGGTCTTCCTCTTGCCTTGTACCCTGATATCCTTTTGCTGTACGAAAGCTAGTGAGCAAGCTAGTGAGGTGCTATGCGTGTCAGATGTCCAAACCACCTGATTGTTTGCCTCATAATGTAGGGGAGAACAGGTGTTGTTCCCACCGTTTCTCTGGTCCTGGTGTTTCTGATCATGTTGGAGACAAAGGTGAGAAAGGATACCCTCAGCAACAAACGTCAGACAGAGATCTCTAGGAACGAGCAAATCTTCATCCTAATATTTCCATTGCCTTTCTCACCCCGCATCAGGGTATAGACCACGAGAAAAGACTTTCTACCTTTTCCAATATTAGGCCAGCCTCTTGGTATAATTCCAAGAAGGAGTAGGTGTACGGGTTCAAAGATTCTATCAACACTATTGAGTTGTTTTAACTCATTGCTGACGGCCTATGAGAATACTCGTATCCAGAAAACCTGCTCCAGTCCATCATTTCTAAGTTTTAAAAAAAAACTATTCTAGAACTATTATAGAGTTACCGTTCGTGCACTTCCGTGCCCTCATTGCCCGCTAATTGTGTAGCTGTTTAGAGGGAAAGTTGTCGCAGTTTTAGTGTGGGTACCTGGATCTGTGGGTGTGGCTGGAGGCAGCCTAGGTGGGTGTGTCTGCTCATGGAGGCAACTCAGGTGGAAATGGGTATAACGAGACGGGACCCCCGAATGTAACACCAGTCTCGAGTGGGACAAAGTTGATGGGTTGAGAGCTTTGAAAACTCCCTAAAACGACCCCCAAGTTCAAGAACGCCCTGTCCGGGAAAGGAACCAGCGCTATCAGTTCCTTGGAGCAGCAAGTTACCTTCCTCCACTAATCACTATTTCCTTCATCTAAAACGACCCCCAAGTTCAAGAACGCCCTGTCCGGGAAAGGAACCAGCGCTATCAGTTCCTTGGAGCAGCAAGTTACCAACTGAGCTAACTTTACGTTTTACTTTTATCCGCCGATCGTCCATGTTGAACTGAGCAGTAGCGTGTGGCTTTACTTTACTTTACTTTTATCAGCCGCTTATACCTTTTGGGTGTCGCGGGAAGAAAGAGACGTTTCTCTGTCGCCAGCCGGAGAGCTTGGATCAGGGGGAGGCCGTGGGTGGTTAATGTTTCCTGACTCCATCTGTCTTTCTCGGTCG